CTCTGCAAATCACTGCTTATCAGATGACAGCTGCAGTGCTGTATTTCATAGAGAGACATGTTTGAAAAATAATGCAACCGTCAAAAATCTATTCTGGAAACACAGAATCTTTGTTTAAATTGAAACAAAATTCTTTGCAGTAATGTTTTACCACATCAATCATATTGAATGACATAGTTGAGAGATTTTAATGAATGGAGCCCCACAGACCTTCAGTCTCAGTAATTGTGACCATGTGTTGACAAATCTAGGTTTTCTGGATAAGACTCAAACATGCATGAGACATAATGTGGGACTTGAGAGCTAATCAGGTTACTGACACCACAAAGTGTTCTCCCAATACTGGGTGCAGACTGAGCTAGTTATTTCATAAAACAAAATATTAGGACAGCTCATATTGAGAGAGTTGTAGAGAATGGTATCCATTTACCATCAACAGATGTCTCTAGAAGCACATTTGCACGATCTACTGACAGCACATCAGCATTGCCTAAACATTCTTCTACTTAATTAAAGAAAAATACATAACTTTGGCAACCTGCGACTTGATACTTGCTACATATTTGACCTGTTGAGGTCATCCATTAACTCTAAAGTTTGAGTAAGTTCATGTACATTAACATAGCTTTAACCATTTATTATCAGTTTAACACTGAACTTCAGCACTATTTTTTAAAAAAAATTTAAGATCAGTCAGTTCTGCCACCTGATGTTCTGTGTGTGATGTTCATTTGTATGCCCTGACAAAGTGTTTAGGCACTTCTGAATTCTAGATCTGGAATTTAGATAAATGTTATGTAGGGTGACCCATACCTTGCTGCTTTCATGAATACATGTCATCAGCCATTCATTGCTTTTATGCTGGCTCACAGGGTTTATGTGGGAGTGTACACTGCAGCTTGTCGTGATCAGACAACCACTTAGTACAGTCCCCGCTACAGAGGGTCTATGACCTATGTGAACTGCATTTCCCTAATCAATCAGATTGCAGAATTGTTATTGAGCAGAACGAAGTCAGAACCAGAATGTGCAAGCTTGAACATTTGATTTATTATTATATCATGTAGAGAAAGCAGAGAGGCAAATAAATATGGAATTGAGAGAAAAAGATGACAGAAGCAAAAAAAGTGAATAAAAATGTTTTAAAATCTCCCAAAATTACTAAAACCTGAAAGAATGAGACTCCATACACGTACAGGAGTTAGTTTTTGGGGCCAGAGAGGTTGTTCAACAGTAACTAAAACTTGCCACAACGTTCAAAATTTACTCACAATTAAAAGGATATGAAAGAGAACTATCCAGTCCATTCCATACATTTCAACACCGAGTCTTTTGATGAGATACAAACATAGTCGAATTTTTACAGTGTAATCAACTGAGACAACCTCCCAATTTCTATGTTTTCACTGTGTATTTGTCAATGCTGGACATTGCTTTCTGACTTACACTTGAATTACAATAAGCACAATAGCATCAACATCATTCTTTTGCAATAAATTTCAGCCATTAGTATTTAAATAACTTGCTAAATATATTCTTGACAAAACAAAATGCAGCACTACTGTATGTTTTACATCAACCTCATGACAACAGTGGTGAAGTCTGGAGAATGCTTGTACCACATACTTTATCAAACTTGCTTTTCAGCTTATCAATTCAGGCTTTTCAACTGAAATATTGAAACCAGCTGGAATTCCAGTTGGAAACCTTTCAAAAAAATTGAACACACCTTCTTGTGACCAGCTATCCTTAGTTAAGCAAAGCTTTCATCATTAAACTTAGAAGACTTAAATTTCTATGGCATCTTTCACAATCTCCTCCTACACTCTACAGCCAATGAACAACATTTTTGAAGTGCATTCACTATTTTAATGCCAGAAAAAAGGCAGCTGATGTATGCACAGCAAGCTCCCACAACAACAAATATGATAATAACCAACAGTATCTATATGATGTTGAGTGAAGGATAAATACTGGCCATGGCACCAGGGAGAAATCCCCTGCTCTTCCTGAAAATGGTACCAGCGAATTGTAAGAGAGCAGACAGGGCCTTGCTTTAATGTCTCACCTTAAACCAGAACACCCTGATTAGTACGTTACTCCATCTGCACTGCACACAGAGTGTTAGCGTGGAGCCTACTCCATCGGTACTGCACACAGAGTGTTAGCATGGAACCTTGAGATCAAATCTTGGAGAGAGGCTTGAACTCATAACCTCCTGACTCAGAGGTGAGCGTGCTACCCACTAAGCCATGGTTGATAGTAAAAAGTTTGAAATTTGAGATATGCATAAAACCTATGCGTACTAAATGCTTATGCTGGAATTAAATTTCAACAGTTTAACTGAGAATGCAGACTGAGTAAGGAAGAGTACAGCACCACGATGACCTGATATCACTTGTGAGTGGAGTGCCACAGTGGTTTACACTCAGAGCTTTATAGATGTCTCTATCACTGCTGAAATTATTTTCCAACCCTTCTACAAATCTCCAACCCCTTCTCAGTTAACTGCAGAAGAAAAAATTTGTCACTTCTTTCTTACAAACTCCACCTTTATCCTGACTGATCTTTTCAATGCAGTTGTGGACCCATAGAAACTGCAAATCGTAGGCTGAGTCCCAGAATTGCTGTCACCTCAGTCAGAATACAGGATAAACAAAATCTCTTGCCACCCACTTCACCTTTAAGTAACTCAATATATCGTAGGAAAACAGCAAAATTATGATAGTAAATAGTGATTTTGAAAGAGTGGCAGAAAAAAGGCAAAATATTGTATATGCTGAAAATCTGAAACAAACACAGAAACTGTTGGAGAAATTCAGCAGGCCTGACAGCATCTGTAGAGAGAGAAACAGAGCTAGCCTTTGAGGCCAGCATGACTCTTCATCTAGAACAGCAAACCCAAAGCATTCCAAGGAAGGGCCACCAGACCTGAAACTTTAATTCTGATGTTTTTCTTCACAGATGCTGCCAGAACTGCTGAGTTTTTGTTCCTGATTTACAGCATCTGCAGTTCTTTCAGTTTTTAACTCAAAACATTAACTCTGTTTCGCTCTCCACAGAGGCTGCTACATCTCTGAGTTTCTTCAGTATTTTCTGTTTGAAACAATGCCACTTATCCTTGTATGCAGTATGAATAAATACATATTGAAGTTATGAGTGGCAGGAGTTAGGCTATCCCACATTACTCATGGCTTATTTAGCTTGACCTATAAATGAATTAGCTTTCTATATAACTTGCCAATTGGGAAAGTGATTTGCTATGTTACCAAGTAGTTTCATTTAAAATTGGGGGTTAGTATTGGTGAGATGGGGAGTTCTGAAAATTCCCAATCGTGCAAAATAAAGGGATGGGGTATTATCTTCCTTAAGTGAATGGAAGTATTAAAAATGTCTGTTGATATGTTTACTTACCATGTGATGCAAACAACAACAATAATTTGCTGGAAAAACCTCCCATCTCCAAAAGCACCCATTTCTAGTTCTTATTTAAGCCTCTACCCGAATGTGATGAAATATATCACCATGCAATGTTGGCATGTACAACTATGTTAGCGTACATTTTATTGGCCACGTGTGTGCAGCATGAGGGAGTTTCAAAGGGGACTGGAAGTATAACAGCAGTTGTTGTGAAGCTACAGAGACTGAAGTGAAATCAAAGAGGATTTAAATCATAACTTGTTAACACAGAGCTTGAACATTGCTGAAAAGAAGAATACAATATGTTGATGGAGCTTTTCGTTTTGCATTCATCAGGACAAACACAAGAATACCAAATTTCAAACTATCGGAGAGAGGTAGAGGGTTCAGGGAGAGACTCCAGTGGTCAGCAGCTAAAGACATGGCTACCAATGGCGAAATGTTTAAAATAGGGGATGGCGAAGAGACCAGAATTAGAGGAATATGGAATTTGTTGAGACTTGCCCGTTGGAGGAAGTTACAGAGATTGGGACGGACAAAACCCCTGAAGGAGTTTTAAATTCATGTCATCGGGGTATAGACATCATTATTGCAGCAAATATCCAGGTGGAATCATGCTACCATCTAGTGGCAACATTTAAATAGTACACTCAGCTTTTCACTTATGATTTCATTTATTGCATGTCTGGACTAATCACAATTTACAAAACAAACACAATCTTCTTTCTAAAGCATGACTCTTTATCAACTTTATCTCAATTGAACAGAATTTTTGGTAATAAATCCCAGGTTTGAATTTGATCTCATATTACACATAGAATAGAGTAGAATCCCTATAGCGTGAAAACAGACCATTCAGCCCAACAAGTCCACACCAACTCTCTGAACAGCATCCCATCCAGGCTCACACCCCAATCCAACACTGTAACGCTGCATTTTCCATGACTAACCCACCTAGACACTATAGATAATTTAGCATGGCCAATCCACCTAACCTGTACATTTTTGGACCGTGGGAGGAAACTGGAGCACTTAGAGGAAACCCACGCAGACACGGGAAAATGTGCAAAATCCACACAGACAGTTGCCCGAGGCTGGAACTGAACTCGGGTCCCTGGCACTGTGAGGCAGCAGTGCTTACCACTGAGCCACTGCGCTGCCCCTATCATGGAGCAGAGGTAAGCAATTATTAAATCAGCTGCACTAGATTTTCCCCCCAAGTTATTTAAGAGTTATCACAGTGCTGCATTTTGTGCAAAGATCCAATGAATTTACACCAGTTTATGGGGCAAATTGACAAAATGCTTTCATTGCGGCTCATTCAGTGAAGCAATGAACCAAATATCAGCCCTAATTTGGAAATGTTGACCAGCTCAAATAAAGAGTTTCAATATACTGAGGGAGAGGGTTTGTTAGAACCTGTACATTACGCAAAGAGATTAGCAGGTTTTACTGCTCTGGATGAACAGTACGAGGATCATCAGCAGTACAGAATTCCAATTACCTTCACCATCAATCGAAGCTCAAGTTTTTAATAAAAGATTCCGTTCAGAAAGGCTACAAAGATTTTGGATACTTACTCAGCGCATGGTAGATAGGCTTATGTTTTCCCTGTAGCCTGACTGAACACATTGTAGCAATCTTTCCAGGTGGTTGCATCTTGGCATCAATCAAATACCAAATCTTTGAAAAGGAAGCCCATTGCTAGAACACAAAGGAAGGAGGAAGTTTCAAGCAGATAAGACATAATTCACAGAAACAGTTCAGCATAATAACAAAATTATCATTAATAATGGATGAGATGATAAACCTGGTGAGGCCTCAGCTGAAAGTTGTATCCAATTCTGGGAGCTTCACTTTAGGAAAGATGTCAAAGCCTTGGAGATTTACTAGAATGGTATTGGGGATGAGGCACTTCAGTTAACTTGAGAGACTGAAGTAACCAGGTTTTGTCTCCTTAGAGTGGAGAAGGTTACGAAAATTAGTGTTATTGTTGATAGTGAGGAAAATGGGCTCAGGCTGCAGTCAGATATTGATCAGCTGGCAAATTAGGCACAGCAATGGCAAATGGAGTTTAATCCCAATAAATGCAATGTGATGCACTTTGGGAGGTCTAATAAGAGAAGGATATACACAATGAATGGTGGATCCTTAGGGAGTATGGAAGAACAAAGGAATGTAGGTGTACAAGTCCATAGATTCCTGAAGGTGTCAGCACAAATTGACAGGATGGTGAAGAAGACAAATGGGATGTTTGCCTTCATTAGCTGGGACGTAGAAATAGAAGCAAGGAAGTCTTGTTACACCGTTATAAAACATTAGTTAGGCCACAGATGGAATACTGTGTGCAGTTCTGGTTGCCACAATATTGGAAGGACATGATTGCACCGGAGAGGGTGCAGAGGAGATTCACCAGAATGTTGCCTGGGATGAAAAGTATCAGTTATGATGAGAAACCAGATAGGCTGGGTTTGTTTTCCTTGGCAGATGAGAAGAGGAGCGATCTGATTGAGGTACATAAAATTAGGAGGGGCATAGACAGGATTGATCGTCAGAATCTCTTCATCATGCCAGATCCGTCTAAGATCAAAGGGCATAAACTTAAGGTGAGGAGCAAGTTTAGAGGAGATCTGAGGAAACACTTTTTCATCCAGAGGGGGGTAGTAGATATATGGAACATGAGAAGGTGGTGGAGACAAGTACTCTCACAACATTTAAGAAGCATCTGGATGAGTACTTAAAATGCCAGGGCATAGTCGGCAATGGACCCAGTGCAGGTAAATGAGATTAGTGCCATTTAGTGTTTGTTGGATGGCAAAGACATGGTGGGTCGAGAGGCCTGTTTCTATGCTGCATGACCCTCTCTAAGGTTATGGGGAGTGGGGATTCAATATAGGTATTCAAAATTATGAGTTTTGATAGGATGAATGAGGAGGACATGGTCCAACATTAGGAATGTTAGTAATACACTGGTATTTAAGGTAATTGACAAAAGAACTGGGGAAAATTATAGTCATTTCTACAAAGTAAATAATTACGTTCTGGAGTACGCTGCTTAAACCAAAAGCTTGCATTTCTATAGCAGCTACCACAACCTCCGGTTGTATCTTTGCAGCCAATGAAGTACTTCTGCATTTTAATCACTGTTTTAGTTGAAGAAATGCAGCAACTGATGTGCACAGAGCAAGAGTTAACTGCAGTATGATTAAGACCAGATAATCCGTTTATGTTGTGTTGGTTGGGAGATATATATTGCCCATGACTTTGGGGAGAACCCGTTTGCTCTTCTTTGAAAAATTTGGCCCTGGTATCGTCTGTATCCATCCGCAAGACAAAACAGGGCTTTGGTTTACCATCTCACAGAGAAGTCTGCACATCCAACCATATAACACTGGAGGGTCAAGCTAGATTTTTGACTCAAGTCCACTCCAAAGACTTGAGCACAGTCTGCTGACTCAGACAAGAGTGTACACAGTGAGCCATGGCTCTCACATATATAATGGAATCATTCGTAGTGGTAACTTTCAAAAGGAATTCGATATATACTTGAAAAGGCAAAAAATGTTCAGGGCTAGGTGAAACAGCAGGGAATGGCAATAACAGAATAGCTTTTTCTAAAGATCAGCACAATGGGTTGACTGGCCATCTTCTGTGCTTACATCATTTAATAGTTGAACATTCTCCTGTCCCAAATCACAACTGAATTACTAACTGAAACAAGCAGTACTGCGAAGAACCATGAGTATTGCTCCCTGTTGAGACTTGACTACATCCAGTTGTGGCCATCATCTCCATTGCCATATAGCCAATAAATAAATAAAACCTACAATTTGCACAAATAAAAGAAACAACACAGACAACATACTGGAACAACTGTTGAGGGTCACAAAGTATACAACTTTAGCCCAATCTGAGACCCCAAATGACAAGGTCATTAACTAATTAAATTTTTATGGGTTTTAATAATTTACTTGTTTTATATTTTACGTGAACATAACTCACCTTGCATTGTTTTACCACATCAAATGCCTTTCGCCTGCGCAAGTGAATCTGAACCTGTTCAACAGGTTTTAAAACTAGTTGCGTAGCAGAATCAATGACTGACATTTAAGGTCTTTGTATCAAAGCTTGTGCATACTTTTCACAAGTGCTGGACCACAGCTCAGTGAGCACACATTGATGTCAAAGTGCAAAGATAAAGCCAAAGCATTTGTATCCATCTTTAGCCAGAAGTGCCAACTGGATTATCCATCTTGGCCTCCTCCGGAGATTGCCAACATCACAGATGCTAGTTTTCAATCCATTTGATTCATTTCACGTATTATCAAGAAATGGTTGGAGGTATTAGATACTGCAAAAGCTATAGACCCTGATAACATTCTGGCAATAGTGCTGAACACAAGTGCAACTGAACTAGTTGTGTCCCAAAATCAAACTCTTTCAATATATCTACAACACTGGCATCTACCAAACAATATGGAAAATTGCCCAGGTATGCCCTGTACATATCATGTTGGACAAATCTAACCCAGGCAAATCCACACTGCATTATACTCTTGATCATCAGTAACATGATGGAAGGTGTCATCGATAGTGCAATTGAATGGTAGGGGAATAACCTGCTCATTGACATTCAGTTTGAGTTCTGCCAAGGCCATTCAACCCTTGAGTGAAGATTGAGCTATTTGTGAGGGAATTGGTCCGAGAATCATATCCCCGGTGACAGAATATTCAAACACTTTACCATATATGGCAGACTAGGTGATTCAGTGTGGAATTTGGTTCATTGTAGGATTTGGAGCGGTAATTATCAAATTAAATCTGAAAGCTAGCCGTGCACAGATGATGAATTTCCAGCTGCACAGAGCTCACATAACCTTGCAACCAGGCTCTCCTTTTCAAGTCAAGGTAATGGGCCATATCACTGGAAGCAAAGTGGCAATACACACTGGGCAACTGGCGACTCTGGACGTTGTTTTTAAGAGTTCTCTTGGTAATGATAAATAGCTCACTATGAGCAATTCCACTCATCACTACATCTCTCCTGGGAGCCTAGGTCTTTCTGGAACCGATTCCCAAGAAGTGCCGTATTGGATCCTTTAAAAAAAAAGCCTGACTGTTTTTCTCTCTCCACAGATGCTGCATACCTCCTACAGTCCCAGAAACAAGATTAGCTTTTTCAAAATCACGCCGCTGTCTGTGGAATCTTGCTGTGCTCACACGGGGCGCCGCGCTCTCCTACATTCCAACAGCCACTGCACTTCAGAAAGTACTACTTCTTGTTTGCCAGACCTCCTGAATTTACGATCAGTGACAGACAAACACAGAATCCCCTCCCCGCCGCTCCCGAGGCCGGAAAGTATCTCCCTTTCCCCACCTGAGCCGCTTTACTGAAACTCGACATCTTGTCCGTGCGCCGTCTAACCCCTTCCGGAGAGGAACCTCCTTCCTCTGACTTTTTTTTCTATTATTAACTCAACGGCTTTCACTTTCCTAGTGCAGCGGAATCCCCAAATCTCGTTGACATTCTGGCATTGATAAACCCAGACAAATATCGAGCGGAAAGTTTTTCTTTAAAGTTTCAAATAAATGAAAAAGATAAAGTAAATAGCGGGTACTGAGACGGCTCTAGTTTCTAGCCGGATGCCTTATGGGATGAGGCGCTTCCTGGAAATGGAGAGAGCGCGCGGAGTTTGTGTGGGTCTTAGAGACAAAATAGTCAGATAAATGTTTATATATTATACAATATTGCGTTGTGGAGAGGGGAGATAGAAAAACCTGGAGCGAGAATACACAGAAAACGGGAAGAATAAGAGATAATGCGCGTATAAAAAATACAGAGAGATTAAATGTACAGAGAGAACAGAAGAGAAAACAGAGGGAGAGATAAAAACACGGGGATGGATTGAGACAAACAAAGAGAGGGACCCCGCGGCAACGGCCAGTCAAAAACCCCTAGCAATAGGAAGCCTGTGGGGCCACTGATTTTTGGAGGCAGTGCCCGAAAGAGCGTGGAGCCACCTTTCAGTCAGTTTGTCTGTTTATTTTATGGTAATCTGTTTTTATCAAATCTTGCAATGGACCGATATGTGCTGTTAGTGGTTTGGAATTATAGAGGCGACCAAGATCAAGATGAAGAGTTTACTGGTAAGTGTGGCATCCGTAAATTGTTTAGTTGTATGCTCTGAGATCTAATTTTGAATTCACTGCTTTGCACAACAGATTCTTAACCTGAATAATGGGGACAGGGGATAGGACAATGTTATAGGGGTACTTGACAGATTGGTAGTAGACTCGAGGATAAATAATAATAGTGTATATCATACATTCCTGAAGAGAATCTTTAAAACGGGTCCAAACTTGCTTTGAGATAGCAAGAAACATCAACTTTCCTGCTCTTCTGATGCTGCCTGGCCTGCTGTGTTCCTCTAGCTCCACACTGTGTTATCAAAGCTTGCTTTGCTGACTTACAGAACACCTTCAAGCTTTATGCAGATTGTTGCATTTATATTAAAATTACAATTCCCACATTCAATAACGATGTGTCCCATATTATCTTTGCTTCGCACAGTCTTTTAGTAGGCATTAAAAACTGAAAGAACTGCGGATGCTGTAAATCAGAAACAAAAACAGAAATTGCTAGAAAAGCTCAGCAGGTCTGGCAGCATCTGTGGAGAGAAATCCGAGTTAAAATTTCTGGTCTGGTGACCCTTCCTCAGAACTGGTTTCAGACTTGACCATTCTGAAGTGAGAGGATAAATGTTAAAGGTGGTTCATGTAGTTACCAATGACATGGGCCTCATTCATCTGTCTGCCTGCAACAAGAATTTAGGGAGCTAGGTTGAAAAGCGGTACCTTGAAGGTTATCACAACTTTCCTCATGGTGCCACATCCTAGTGAGTATAGGAATGGATGGATAGAGCAGATGAATGTATAGCTGAAAAGTTGGTGCAGAGGGAGAGCTTTAGAATCCTGGATCACTGGGTCCGTTTTGGTGAAGGTGTGATCTGTATAATTCGGAGGAGTTGCACCTGAACAGAAATGGCACGAACGTCCTCTTGTATGGGAGCGAGATGTAGTTTGCTGATACTTTGAGTGAAGGTTTAATCTAATTTAATAGGGCAATGGGAAACAGAGTGGAGGATCACTTGGGGATGATCAGACAGGTGTAGCAGAAAAGCCAAATCAGTCTGGAAAGCAGAGCTTATGTAGTCAAATTAAGACACTGGGAAAACAATTCAAGGTTGGATAGCATTTATTTTAATGCAAGGAGCCTTGCAAGTAAGGTATGAGTTGGTGGTGTTAACACATGGGATTTAGGCATGACTGCTGTTACAGAGACATTGTTGAGACAGTAGCATGATTGGCAGTTCACTATTACAAAGTATAGGAGTGAAGATTCCTCAAGCCATATAGGTAAACTTTTAAAAACAAGAGGAGGTCAGTTATATTGATGGGAGTATACTACAGAACTTGAGACAGTCAGGGAGAGAGAAGCACAGATATGCAGAAAGGTAGTTTCCAATCCCATGAATTCCAGAGTTTTTGGAATTCTCTACTCCAGAGAGTTGTGGATGCTCCATCACTGAAAATTGTATATTTAAGACAAAAAGATTTTTGGTTGCAGGGAATCAAATTTTGAGGGGTGGGCAGGAAAGTGAAGTCATAGAGTAATGCTGTAGGGAAACAGACCCTTTGGACCAACTGGTCATGTCCACAATAATCCCAAACTAAACTAGTCGCACCTGCCTGTGCTTGGCTCATATCCCTCCAAACACTTCTTATTCATGTGCTTATCTAAATGTCTTTTCAACGTTATAACTGTACCCACACCTTAGGGAAATTCATTCCACACGTGCCCCTCATCTCTTTTTAAGTCTTTCTTCTCTTCCCATAAAAATATGCCCCTTAGTCTTGAAATCCCCCACCCCTGAGAAAAGACATCTGCCATTCATCTTATCTATACCCCTCATAATTTTATAAACCTCTCTAAGGTCACCATTCAACCTCCTTTGCTCCAGTGAAAAAAGTCCCAGCTTATCCAGCCTCTCCTTATAACTCAAACCCTCCATACCTAGCAATATCCTGGTAAATCTCTTCTGAAACCTCTCCAGCTTAATACTATCCTTCCTATAACAAGGAGATCAGAACTGGACACAGTACTGCAGATAAGGCTTTACCAGCATCCTGTACAACCTCAATATGATATCCCAACTCCCATTCTCAAAAGTATGAGCAATGAAGGCAAGTGTGCTAAACGCCGCTTTAATCACCCTATCCACATGTGATGCAAACTTGAAAGAATTATTTACCTGAACCCCTAGGTCTTTCTGTTCTACAACACTACCCAAAGCCCTACTTTTAATTGTATAAGTCCTGCCATTGTTTGTTTTACCAAAATGCATACCGTGCATTTATCCAAAATAAACTCTATCTGTCACTCTTTTGTCCATTGAACCAAATTGATCAAGATCTCTTTGTAATCTTAGATAACCTTCTTCACTGTCCACTGTACCACCAATCATGGTCAACCGCAGACTTACTAACTATGCCTTCTATATTCTCATCATTGAACCCCAAGATGACCCATGATCATATTGAAAAGTGGAGAATGTTTGATGGGCTATATGCCCTACTTCATATTCCTTGTGTTTTTGCATTCTTTTGCAATATTTTGTTGGGAGTGTCCTGGTTTAGAAGATCACAACCAGTTCTCGTCTCTTCCCAAGCGAGAAGAATTGAAAGCCCAGGAAAATGTTCAAGCGGCAACCCAATAGCCTAGTAGTTACTTTAAGAATCCTTAGATCCTGCATTAGGAGAGATGATTTGATCTAAATAATTTGTTCTGTGCATTTATTAGGATGTATAAATTATGTAAACTTAGATCTTGTTTAGATATCGGAAGGTGTTTCTTCCACAGAACTTTACAATAACTTTGCATGCAACTGTAAATTAATAAGAAGCATTCTGAAGAGAGCTGTGAAGTTCCTGAAGGAAACTGATATTGCTTATGTGTAAGAGGGAAATAGGATGTTACATGGAGAAAGGAAAGGAGTTTTCCAGAATTCATTCTTTCATGACCTAGGCTTGGACATTTTTAGTCTGTATTTTTGCCTGTAGTATATTTTAGAGGCTGTATAACTAGTTGCACCGAGGATGAATAAGAAAGACTGTTTATCTTCCTTTGGCATATGTTTATAAATCATTTCATTTTTATTCTGCAGAGCTGACAGCCATTAAACGTGTCTATGAACAACTGAGAAAGAATGCCAGAATCTCATCAAATTCGAGATTGGTCTTGCTTCCGGGTAATAACTTTAATCATTTTTGAAATTCATAAGCTTGCTCATATTCAGGTACATTAAATAAAATTGTAGTTTTTGACTGTTGACGTAATGTTTTGCAGATGACATCCTGTCTCAAAAATTGTGCTTGAAGTGCTCTTCCTGTGAAAAGCTGGCGTACTGTTTATACCCAACATGTCCCAACTGCGCTCTGCGTTTCGTTGGTATAGGCAGTTTTAAACCAACATTCACCTTATCTGCTAGCTTAGAGGCTAATAACAGATATCTGAGCCATGTAAATTGCACAAGTATGATCTCCAGTCTCTACTGTATTACTTGATTATCATTTGGGGAGTTTTATAAAACATTCTCATCCTTGTTTCAAATCCCTCATGGCCTCAGCTTTCCCTCTTTCTAACTCCTCTAGCTGTACAACTGTCCAGGATCTCTGCAATCCTCCAAGTCTGACCTCTTGTGTACCCCTGATTCACAAGACCATGAAATGCGCCTTCAGTCATCTAGGCTCCACATTTTGGAATTGTCTCCCTAAACCTTTCATCCCTCTATCGTTCTCTCCTCCTTTACGATGCACCTGAAAGCCCAAGATTATGTTGTTTGGTTCAGTGTCAAATTTTGATTGAGAATACTCATGACAAGCTTCTTCGACGTTTTATGAAATTAAAAATGGTGTATAATGTAAGTTTTGCACTGTTAGTAGAGCCTAGGTGAGGAGAGAAGAATCAGGCAGACCTCCATCTCCTCATTATTTTCTAGTGACCTCTGCTGGATGTGTAGAGAGAAATATTCTGAGAATCTCAAATTGCTCCCATATTCTTTGCGAGATAGTAGGAACTGCAGATGCTGGAGAATCTGAGATAACAAGGTGTAGAGTCGGATGAACACAGCAGGCCAAGCAGCATCAGAGGAGCAGGAAAGCTGACGTTTTGGGCCTAGACCCTTCTTCAGAAAGGCCCGAAACATCCGCTTTCCTGCTCCTCTGATGCTGCTTGGCCTGCTGTGTTCATCCAGC